CAATGAAACATTCACATTGAGATTTTAAGTGATAATGACCTTGATGTAAAACAAATCTGTATATTTTGGAGACCAAAGAGTCAATAAATAAACCACTACCACAGAAATGTTGTTTCTTTCATATTTTATAAAAGTTTCCAGCAGGAAGAATTTTACAAGACTGTTTTATCTGAGACATTTTAAAAGATTCCTTTATAAGATTGATTCTCTGAAATCATATAATTAAGCCTGTTAACCCAAAGGGCCACTTGCTTGTTGTACATAGTGTGGGAAAAGATATTATTTATAATTAGAAATTAGACCTCAGGAAGAGCTGCAGGGTTCTGTTGAAAGAGCCACATTAACTGACATAATAATATGCTGCAAACGGGTTACATGCATGCCTAGAGATACTGATCTACTCAGTACTCAGGACCAGCAGAAGGGACCAGGGATGGCCAGTGCTCTTGGGCGGGTAGACTTAGACCACAAGCAGCCTCACTGAGTCCCTTCTGAGGCTGCCCAAACTGAGCAGAATCTGACAGTGTGACACCTTTTCTGGAGGTGGCAAGCAGAATGAGCAACATTCATCACTTGCTTCCACATAGTGCTAAGAAAGAAATACTCCTTAGTACTCTAGGTAATCAATTTAATTTTTGAATTACTCTCCTCTCCCTGTAATCATGCCCTTTGTTATGTAACTTTCCAGTTCTGCCCACGTGAGCAGAGTGAGAGCAGAAGGGACAGTGTGCTGGTTCTGAGTCAAGGCCTTAAGAAGACCTCTTGTTTTTGTTTTTGTTTTCTTTTCCCCTTCACTCTTGAAGCTCTGCCAGCACACGCAGAACATGCCCTGGTAGCCTGCAGATCTGAGAAGGATGGAGATACATGAAGCATCACTTCAGCATTAACCAGTTTCCTCCTCCCCTTTCCCAGCTGCCACAGCCTAGAGTCATCCCAGCTCAACCTCAGATTTGTGAGAAATAAGTGCTTAATGTCACATGAGATTGAGAATTTGTGGTGTTTATTACATGCAATAGTCAACCGATGAACACTGTACTATATTTTTATTATGTCATGGAAAAAATTACACCAAAGTTAAAGACAAGGAAGACTTTTTTCAAGACCATTACAGTAGGGGAGAGAGACCAGAACTCAGTTTGAACTCAACCACACTGAATCAAAGGGCTGGAGAGTTTTTAAGAGCTAAACAGGAGGAGGTTGGGTAGTCTTCCAGTTTGGAGTAAGGCACCCTCCAAAGTTAGTCTTGTACTCTCCTACAGAAACTGGGAGATGGGCCACTATCATCCTTGATGAGTTCATTTCAAAAGATGGCTCTAAAAAAGGGAGGTCAGAGACCTAGAGTCAGGAATAAGCTGTCTTAAGTTTAGTCAAGCTGAGAGGAATATTAAAACTTTCCTGGTCAATTATAATGATTATATAACATAAAGCAAGTGTATCATTTTCACAGAGGTCTTATATTGACACCCCAAGTCCCCTCCAGTTCATCCTCTTATAAGGGGCATAGGTTATCATGTACAATGAAGTGTAAGAGACTGGGGAGCATCAAGCCCATGTACAAATAAATTATTTCTCAGAAGGAGACAGGCTCTGGTTACGAAGGTGTCCACACATTCCATGGTGATTCAAAAGCTGACCCTCTCCATTATCTGGTGAGGCTGTAAGTAGAGGTTGTTTGTGGTTCAGCGATCAACACTCACTGATCTCACTGAACTTCTCATTAGAGCAAACCTCTTCTTCACATATGTACCGACTCATTTCTGCCTACTCTTTCCTTTGCAGGCATAAATTTGAAGTTTGTATTCCTCCAGTTCCTTCTATTTTCACTGTGCAAGCTCTAATCCAGTCAACAAATACTTACTGAGTACTGGTACATCCTAGGCACTCTGGCAGGTGCACACAAGGCAATCACATTTACTCCTACACTTTCAAAAACAACAGAAGGTGAGGAATCCCAAATGACTATCTCTGGAACAAATTCTTTCCTGAACTGAAGACTTATCAGCCAAACCACCTTCTGAAGAACTCCAGTTTCGTGTTTCTCCAACTAGTCCAAATCTCAGCCATCATCTTTTCCTCCCAATCTACTCTTTCTCATATATGCTGAACCTGTCTTGTTAGCAATTAAAAACCTGGGAATCACCCTTGACTTCCACCTATGTCATGCCCTAAACCCCTACATCCTGGCAGTATTTAAATTGTTCATTCATATTTTCATTAAATAGGGAGGCAAGGTTACTGAATAAGAGCAGGGTGAGATCAAGTTAGGTTTGAAAATGTAATGAGAAGGAAAGACAGCATTACCAAGAGTTTGGTAAATGATCTACTGAATGATTGTTTCATGTCACACCTTTAATATATGTTCTTCCACTTTTATGTATTTCTATTTTCAAGTTCTGAATATACTACTGGAGAGGGAAGAAATCCTTATCACCACCTACATGGTAGGTGCTTCATAGGACAAAGGCATCTATATTCACAGACCTGAAATCCTTTTCTGGAGCTTCAGTCCTTAATTTCCCTCCCTAATTCCTGTTACTATTGGAAGGACAAAACCCTGTGTCAGGAAATGCTGGTGTTGTCAGAACTGCCTGGCCCTCAGCTCCCACACCTTCCTATCTGGCAGTTTGCAGTTACCTCCACATGGGGTGTTCTTTGTTTCATTGCTGAGCTGCTATTACAAAGAGATAATTTAATTATCTGAAGTGAAATAGGCAAGATTGTTTCATAGGCTCAGGACTGGTGCAGTGACACAGAGCCCTACTATTGGGATTTAATGTTTCTGCTTGTTACCTTGAATTTCATAATAATTTTTTTTTTTGGCAGCTGGCCAGAAACAGGGATCACACCCTGGACCTTGAAGTTATCAACATCATACTCTAACCAACTGAGCTAACTGGCCAACCCAAATTTCTTAATAATTTTATTTTTGAATCTGTGTCTTATTAAGTAAAGCCCACAGGGACAATGGAGCATGCACCTGTGGCTTGGAACCTCAAATCGCCTGTGGTCCTGCATTATACCACTTCCCCTCCTCTCTGGGAAGGGGTCTCAGGCACCTGCTCCCCTACCCTCAGGCACCTTGGGCCATATCCAACCTCCTGGTCACCCCAACCAGTGACTACTGCCAACCTCTTCCCATCTTGGAAGAGCACTGTATGCAGTATGGGGAATGTTATGGTCAGGTGCACCCTTTGTAGTCTCAGGGCTATGGTGTCCCCAGCCCCGGCTGGTAGGGCCATAGAACGTTCAGTGGACTACTTGGCTGGGCCAAGCCTCTTTTTGCCCCCAATCGAAGTATCAAGTGCTTCTCGGTGTAGAGGTTGCAATTCCTTGAGGGTCACCTGTCTCCTTTTGGGTGAAGTGGCGGAACGTGAGAAGGATAGATGCCTGACACAACTTTCTCACCCCCATCCTGGCCAAGGCATGTACGTTCATGGGCTAGCAGGAGGTGGAACCTGGCAGTGGTTGGGCCATATGTGCTGAGTCACAGGGCAGGAAAGACAGACACCTGTGAGGATCATCACTTGCCTTGTGAATATCTCTGTACCCAACGGTGTAGGACATTACATAACAAATATCAAACACCATGACAGGTCAAGAGAGACCATAAAAGAAAGGAAAAAGCAGTTGCTATGGATGAATTGTATTGCTCACATGTTCATATACTGGAAACTTGACCCCTGTTGTAACAGTGTTAAGACAGTGGGAAATCCTATTATGGTATTTGAAACGTGGGGTCTTTGAGAGGGGAGTGGATCATGGGGACTGTGCCTTCATGAATGGATTAATTCAAACATGGAGTAATGAGTTATCACGGGGGAGGTTCTTTTTTTTTTTATGAGATGACTGGTAAGGGGATCTTAACCCTTGGCTTGGTGTTGTCAGAACCACGCTCACCCCACTGAGGTAGCCTGCCATCCCTGTATAGGGATCTGAACCTGTAGCCTTGGTGTTATCAGCACCACATTCTCCCAAGTGAGCCATGGGCTGGCCCTGGGCATGGTTCTTCTGAGAAGGAGAGCAAGAGAGAAAGTTAACTCTCTTGCTCTGGCCGTTTTCTCACCATGTGATGCCCAGGTTGCCACTGGACCCTGTCAGAATCACCACCAAGAAGAAGGCCTTCATCAGATGTGTTCCCTGGACCTTTACCTTCCCAACCTCCAATTTCAGGTATTCTGTTATACGTAACAGAAAACAGACTAACACAATTATATACTTCAGTACCTTAAAGATTATTTTTTTTCATATTTTTGAACATGGGTCACTGCATTTGTAGTTTGTGTTGGGCCCTGCAAATTATGTAGGCAGTCTTATATATAGGGAATAGGTCACACTATTTCCAAATAGTGGGCTATGCCAAACCACACCAGTTGAACTTGACATCTTTTAAACATGAAAATCCTAAGTGTTTCTACAAAGCGTCATAGCACCAAAAAGAGTTTTGTAGAAGAACTCATTAATTATAATTATCAGAAGTAGGTTTCCTTTCATGATTCACACCTTACACTGTAGGGATTCCTTATGAGGAATATAGAATGTGTGAAATGGATTGGCTGGCTTCCTAAAACGTTCTAGGAGGTGGAAGCCTATTAAAAGGTGACTTCTCAAACATGTAATTATATTATACGTAATGACCCTTTGCAAGGAAGAGCTTCGCAGATGTAAAGAACCAGGTATTTAAATTAAACTTTTTCAGTTACTCAGGTAATGTGATTTCTGGGTCATGAAAATTCATGTTAGTTTTGCTGAGGGGAAACTATGAGGTTCAGACATAGTTACAAAAATAACTATGCGATTAAAGACAGAATGATTTTCTGAATTTTTAAATTTCTTTTAATTTTTAATAACAGAAATATAACAGGATATAGTATGAGGCAATATTTAAAAGCAGTTGCTTTGATATGCACTTTGAATTTTTCTTTTTGATTTTCAGAATTCAAAATTATTACTCCCTCACACAAGGAAGGGCAGAAATCCAGCAAGCTCCTAACTGCAGAACCATGAACAGCAATTTTTCCCACCCCATTGTGCAGCTGTGCTATGAGAATGTGAATGGATCTTGTATTAAAACCCCCTACTCACCTGGGTTTCGGGTGATTCTGTACACAGCCTTTGGCTTGGGGTCTTTACTGGCCATATTGGGAAACCTCTTGGTGATGACTTCAGTTCTTCATTTCAGGCAGCTGCACTCTCCAGCCAATCTTCTCATCGCCTCTCTGGCCTGTGCTGACTTTTTGGTGGGTGTGACCGTGATGCCCTTCAGCATGGTCAGGTCCGTGGAGAGCTGCTGGTACTTTGGAGACAAATTTTGTACCTTTCACAGCTGCTTTGATGCGGCATTTTGTTATTCTTCTCTCTTCCACCTGTGCTTCATCTCTGTCGACAGGTACATCGCTGTAACAGACCCTCTGGTCTATCCTACCAAGTTCACGGTGCGTGTGTCAGGAATTTGCATCAGCATCTCCTGGATCCTGTCCCTGGTGTACAGCGGTGCCGTGTTCTACACAGGTGCCTATGATGATGGGCTGGAGGAATTATCCAGTGCCCTCAACTGTGTAGGAGGATGTCAGATTGTTGTGAATCAAGACTGGGTTTTGATAGATTTTCTGTTGTTCTTCATTCCTACTTTTGTTATGATAATTCTTTACAGTAAGATTTTTCTTGTAGCTAAACAACAAGCTATAAAAATGGAAAGTACTAGTAGCAAAGCAGAATCATCCTCCCAGAGTTACAAAGCCAGAGTGGCCAAGAGAGAGAGAAAAGCTGCTAAAACCCTGGGGGTCACAGTGATAGCATTTATGATTTCGTGGTTACCGTATACAATTGATACATTAATTGATGCTTTTATGGGCTTCATAACCCCTACCTATATCTATGAAATTTGCTGCTGGAGTGCTTATTATAACTCAGCCATGAATCCTTTGATTTATGCCTTATTTTATCCTTGGTTTAGAAAAGCCATAAAACTTATTTTAAGTGGGGAAGTTTTAAAGGATAGTTCATCAACCATTAGTTTATTTTCAGAATAAGTGTTGGTACTCAGTTGAGAAAATTAAGAACATTTTCAAAATAGAAGAAATGAAAAAAACCTTTTCTAATTGGGGAAATGTATTATTTTTCAAATTAGCCAGGAAGAAATTATAGGAAGTTTAAACCATTAAACCATTGTAAAGATATTTACTGCAATAAATAATAAATATACAATGGCTTACATATGTTACCCATCTCAATTTTTGTACATGTTCTTTTCACATGCTCTTGTTTCTTCCAATTCACTGAATTCTGAGTCTCATTCTTCATGTGAAATCCCTAATCATCCTCTTTTATGCTCAATTCTTATTTATCTTCAAATATTCATTTTTTCTCTGTCTTTTTCAGCACTGTAGTATTTTGCGAGGGCTGTCATAACAACATACCACAGACAATGTCGCTTAAAAAAACAGAAACTTATTTTTTCATGGCTCTAGAGGCTAGAGGTCCAAGATCAAAGCTTGGGTTCTTTTGGGACCTCTCTCCTTGGCTTGCAGGTGGCTGTCTTCTTTCCATGTCCTTACATTCTCTTTCTTTGAGTGTGTCTGTGTCCTAATCTTCTCATAAGGGCATGCGTGAGTCATATTGGATTATGAACACTTCATTTTAACGTACATCTTTTCAGATTGGAGTCCTGGGTGTTAGGACATCAACATATGAAATTTGGTGACACAACTCAGCCCATAACAGACAGACTCCAGGTGTGATGACACTACCTGAGGGTCTGTTGATTTGCTGCTCTTCTGTGACTATTCCTCCCCGTTCCTTTAACCTTTGCACCTCCCAGGAGTTTTGGGGGCAGCAGGTGAGCCTCTCCTGCTTAATGGCTGGGCAGAATCCCAGAATGTTCAGTCGCAATATTGTGGGTCCAGTAATCCAGCCTTGGGATCAAGTAGTAACCACAGATACTACCCAGAAATTTTGCAAGTGAAAAAATCTATCACAGAAACACTGGCAAAATGATGATTAGCAAATGGAAACTCTGCAAAAGAACTGTCAATTCCCACTAGCAGTTGACATCTATACACCAGCTTTATCACCTGCAAATAATGTGTAGTTCAGTTTTACATCTTTTCTCGGCAGTTTTTCTCACCTAAAAATAAGGTGTATTTCAATTCTCAAGAATGTCGAGGGATCAAAAATTCTGCACTAATACTGCAAAAAAAATATGTATTAAAAAGAGCATTGTGGAAAGAAAGATAGAATAGTCATAATAACATGTTGAACTTTCAAAAGGAGAGAACAGACTGAGGTTACCCACAGGTGGGAAAGTGGAAAGGGGAGGGAGGGGTTAGGGAAGAATTCATAAACGGTCACGAAAAACGATTGCATTTTATAAAGTTCAATATACTAATTATCCTGATTTGAGCATCACATACTGCTCACAGGTATTGATATTCCACTCTGTACCCCACAGATATGTACAATCAAGTATGTTTTGACAATAATAATAAAAACATATTAAAGCAAAACGAAAACAAAAAACGAAATAAAGAATATTTTGCTGGTCAGCTACTCAGTTGGTTAAAGTGTAGTGTTGATAACACCAAGGTCCAGGGTTCAATCCCTGTTAGTGTCCAGCTGCCAACAACAACAACAATGGAAAAAAGAGTATACACAATACATGCTGTAATTTCACATTTTGATCTTTGGATAATTTTGTATTGCTGATACAAGAAAAATCATTTTGGAATGCATATCTGGAGTATTTTGTATAATAAAAGAAGATTGTATTGGAGTAGTGAAGTATAAATTTTTTTTTCTTTTCTTTATTCTTATATTTATCTGTGAAGTCACTGACTAAAATGATTAAAATAATTTTTTCTCATTGGCTTCCAATGAGGTATTTAATTTTTTTCAAACAAATTTAGTGCATTAATTATGCATAAGTACCTGTGTCAGGAATGGCTAAAAATAATAAAATATATTATGAGTATTTTCCTCAAGTACATAATTTTGAGAGTAATATGGACAACACATTTTAAATTATATTAATGAGGGACAGAAAATTGTCAGAGATGGTAAGTCCTGTGAGCAGAGCACCAAGTACCATTACACAGCAGGTACTTGGTGCTAGTCTTTCCTATAACATTGTCTTCTCAGCCACATGTGGTCCCATGGCCAGAGAGATTAAAAAAGGACTTAGAGGAAACTTTATTTTTTCAGTAGAAAGGACTTTTGATGAGTCTTCATGTATGTTTGGACTTGCATAAGTAGGTAGGAGTGTGGAAACCATTTTTTGACAGTAGAATTAATATCCATAAATGGAGGATTGACAATGGCAAATTGGAAGGCAATGAATAGATTAGTAGCATGGTAACAATCAATCAAGAAAGTTTCTGGTAATTAATAATTAACTAGAATAACTGATGAACACTGTGCTATATTTGTATTTTGTCATCCAAAAAATTTCACCAAGTTAAAGACGTGTATTCAAGACCATGACAATAAGGGAGAAAGGCCAGAATTCAGTGTGAACTCAGCTACACTGAATTGAAGGGCTGGAGAGTTTTTAAGGACAGGAGGAGGTTGGGTAGTCTTCCAATTTGGAGTAAGGCACTCTTCAAAGTTAGTCTCTTACCCTCCTACAGAAACTGGGAGATGAGCCACTATCTTCCTTGATGATTACATTTCAAAAGGTTGGCTCTCAGGTCCTTGAGGAAGACATTCCTGGGCTGTAAAACTGGCAAGAAGTTTTAAAAGGATTTGCAGTTAAAAGGAACTTTTAGAATTTTTCTAAAGTAAATGCTCTAAAAAAAGAGTGGTCTGGGACCTAGAGCCAGGAGGAAGCTTGTCTTAAGTTCAGCCAACCTAAGAGAAAAATTAAAGAAAAAATTGCAATAATTAAATAATATAAAGAAATAATTGCAATAATTATATACTATAAAGCAAATGTACCGTTTTGCACTGAGTTAGATGTTCTAACAGGAAACACAAAAGAAGTAAAGAAATACTTCCCATAATGTTATCTGCTGTTATTGGCACCTGAAAATACCTGTAGGGGCTCATTAGAAACACAGATTTCCTTCTTCCACCTGAGACCTCCCAATCACTGTAGGCCAAAGAATCTGTATTTGAACAAAAGATTTGAATAGAAACATCACCAAAGAAGTTATAGTTGTCTTTGTAAAACTATTGCATACAACTAATTTCTTTTGGAATGTTTCATGTTTTGTCTGTTGATTTTATTGCCTGTGCTTTAGCATTGTATTTCTTCCTGTGCTTGGTATTTTTGCTCTGCTTTCTTATTTTGAATGGATGGGTTTACTTAGTTTTTGTTTTCATTTTTCTTTTATTCTCCCTGACCCAAAATACACATTTAGTTGTCTCTATCCAGCCTTGAAGGTCCCCCAAGCATAATCATGCTCTTCAATGATGCTTTGGGGTCCTGTTCTGCTGTCATATGGGAAAGTCACTGATCCAGAAAATCAGCCATTGGGCATGAAAAAAGAAAAAATGTAGACAAATTAAATTTAGCAAAGTTTAATTGAGCAAGAAAATAAAGAAAAAAGAAACAGTTTGAGAATCTGGCAGCCCCTACAGTCAGGACAGATGCTGAGGGATTCCACTGCTGCTTGGCATGGTTGGTCAAGATTTACAAACAGAAAAAGGGAAGTGATGTGTGGAAAACAGAAGTGATGTTCAGCACCACACCCTACCTTTTTTTTTTTTTTTTTTTTTTTTTTTTTTTTTTTTTTTTTTTTTTTTTTTTTTTAATAAAGATGACCGGTAAGGGGATCTTAACCCCTTAGTGTTGTCAGCACCATGCTCTCCCAAGTGAGCCAACTGGCTATCCCTATATAGGGATCTGAACCTGTGGCCTTGGTGTTGTCAGCACCACACTCTCCCAAGTAAGCCACGGGCAAGCCCTAGAAGTGAGGTTCAGAACAGTGACTGCTTCAATTGGCTGAGACGAGCTATGGGTACAGAAGTGCACCACTAAGTTTGCCTCTCAATTCATTTACGCATGAATTGAGGTTTCAGTTTGTCATTTAGAGCTCAAGTGTGAAAGGATAGAGGCTTTCTCAGGCCAAGTTTTTGATTTAACAGGCAGTTCAGCCCAGTGCCTGGTTTTGAGTGTATGTCTATGTTTTTAAATCTCCCTAGGGTGACAGCTTTCTAAAGGGCCGGTCCTAGGTGGAACTGGGGCAGTCACGTTGCTTCAGCACCCTTTCACGTGTGCTGTGCGGTGAGGAGCCAGACTCTGCCCCTGCCTGGAAGCAGTGAGCATCTGCCTGGGGCACTTTTAGTTCCCTTTAAAGGAGTCAAATCCCTGGGTTCTATTACTGCTTCTGGACCTGGAAACCCATCGGTCCTCATTTTCAGCTCTGCTCACATGTTGTGTTCGTTTCTTTTCTCGCACACAGAGAAGATGATCTTATTTATGAATTTTACTCTATCTTGTTTTCCTTTTGATATGTCTGTCCTTTCCATATATTTAGAGCACAGGGATTGATAAATGAACTGATTGAGTCATCTTGACTGAAATCCTAATGTAATCTTTATCCTGCCTGGAAAGGAGAGGTGGAAGAGTAAACACCTGTTTTATCTGATTGTGTATATTTTCTTTTATTTTAATTTTTAATTAAACATTTTTTTCATTGAAAAATAATTTTTATGCATATCTATGGGATACAGAGTTGAATATCAATACCTATGTAGAATATGTGATGATCAAATCAGGAAAATTAATATATTCATCTTTACAATACAATCATTCTTTGTGACCCTTTACCAATTTCTCCTAATCCCCCACCCACTTTCTTTCCTCTGGTAACCTCAGTTCTTTTGTCTCCTCTTGAAAGCTCAATGTATATTATTGATTGTTGTATCATTCTTTTTTATTTGTTAATTTTTTTAGCTCCAATTTATGAGTGAGGACATGTGGTTTTGTCTCTTTCTGTGCTTGGCTTATTTCACTTAACATAATTTTCTCTAAGCTCATTCATGTTACTGGGAATGGAAGAATTTCATTCTTTTTATGGCTGAGTGGTATTTC